ACACCACCTCCCCCACCCCGTAGAAAAATTCGCATATTATACGACAGCAAAACAGAAAAACACACAAAACACACACACACACACACACACACACACACAAACAAACACAAACACAGACACACCTGCTCGGCGATTTCTTCGCCGTCGAGATCTTTGAGGGTTTCGAGGAAAAGCTCCAGCAAGACAGCTTCGTCCTTGAAGACCAAATCATCCTCGTAGACTTTGGGAATGAAACTTTTGGCGCTCTGTTCCACATTCAGGAGAGGGAATTTCGTCGTGTACTTTTGGGCCCCGCTGGACGGCTGCTGCTGGGCAAACTGCAGGAGCGCGGAACTGGCTATCCTCTCCACCATTGCGGAGGGCAAAGATCCATTTGCCATAGCCGGCCTCCACGTGGCAGAACACGTGGCAAAAGACTGAAGAGAGCGGTGCGAGCACACGGGAAGCAGCAGCAGCAGCGAGGACCGATCTCCACGTGGCAACGGCGCGCTAAGCTCTTGAACACCAGCTCCACGCGAGCAACCACGAGGACGAAGAGGAGAGAGAGGATAAAGAGGAGAGAGAGGAGAGAGAGAAGAGAGAGGAGAGATAGGAGAGAGAGGAGAAGAAGATTGCTGATAACTAACGCCAATCCACTGGCGGGGGGGTGATAACGACGGAGTGCTGCTGGATTTCAAAGAAGGTAGGTGTAGAGCGTCGTGACTAAGGTGGGTAGAAGCGCGGCCTCCTAGTAGTAGGCTAAATTCAAGCCCTGGAAAATGCCGACGGGGATAGAGAAATTGGGTGGGAGAGGAGGTGGAGTAGGGAGGGGAATGCCAAGGAGAGGGAGGGAGTGGTGATGAGGAGGAGAGGGAGCAAGCGGGTCGCTCAGACGCACAACGGCGCAGGCGGCGCAGATAGCCGGGGAGACGGCGGGGGATGAGCTGGCCAGGCATGGGAGCAATACAATGAGAGAGCTGCAGCTCTCTGAGGGCATATGCTTTTTTTTTTTTTTTTTTTTTTTTTTTTTAGGGCATATGCTTCACCCTACCTAGCATTTCCTCGGAGGCATCTTTCAGCACACTTTTGCCCCCCGATTGCAGCTTTTAACTTTTAACACTCAGAAGACTTCCTCGCATGCTGGCCGCAATTCCGACCAGATTCCGCCCTTTGACACTCGGGCACTTACCTCGGACGCATCTGATCGCCTTTCCGGCAAGATCCGCCCTTGCCGAAAAAAGTGCAATTGAGAGAGTACTGCCTGCCTGACACCTGACAACTACCGCGCTCGTTTTTTTTCGTTTTTTTTTTTTTTTTTTTTTTTTAACCAACAACTACCGCGCTCTCGAGCCTCACTCCACAATCACCTTAGGAGATACGCCCACAATGAAATGACGTCCTCAATCCACTACATGAGAGAGCAATTACGGCCGGAATGCACTCGACCGCAATCACGTCCAGATCCTACCATAGTCGAGTCGAGACGGTCCAAGTGTGCGCGTATGCATGCCCGTTCTGCTGGCCGACAGTCGAGATGACTGCCACGTGGCTCAATACTCACCGCTCACTCGCAAGCGGCAAACCTGCCCCCAGCGGCACGCAATCCACCTCCCCGCCCCGCCCCCTCCCCTCGCTCTCCGCCTGGAGCAGTATCCCTGCCGCGCTCACTCGCGCGCGCGTTTGCGCGCAAACAGCCGACTACGGCGACTACCACTACCAAACCGTCCCACCACGGAGCGAAGCTTGGCTATTTAGAAAGAAAAAAAAAAAAAAAA